TTAATTCAGTTTGGATTCGGTTTGGGCTATAATCCAAACCGAAAACCAAACTTTCACCCCTATGTTTAGGCTTAAGACGAACTTTGCCTCTCAATAAAGCCTTCCTAGCCAATCTAGGGTGGAAGATTCACTCTTAATCTTTCAATCTTTAGGTCAATTAACCAAAATATCTTTATGACTCTTATTTTTTGGAATACCACACAATCAACCAAAAGATTCTCATATATGGAAATTAGTTATGGACCAATGATAAATTTTACGAAAAGGTATTCAATTCGGTGGAAGATTGGTAATGATGCTGACATTTATTTTTGGATAGATAATTGGACTACCAATAAAAGTCTGATTGAAACTCTCAACTTACAAGGACACCAAGTAGATATTGATCTTAAAGTTGCAGATAATATTTTATTAAATAATTAGTGGGACAAACCTTAACTCACTTGTAAAGAGGGTGATCCCATCATAAGGGGGTCCTTCCTTAGATGCCCATGGCCATTTAAAAGCCTAGGACTTTACACTTGTTAGGGTGTAGTAGGATTTGAATTTCTGACTGTTTGGAGACCTTGAATTAGAATTGATTATATCATCACGCTTTTTTATAAGAAACAAGTAAGAGTCGCCAATGAGTTTTAGGAAAACTCATAAACCTCGTTCATGCCTTTCTTCCATGTGGAGTTCATGGAATAATTAGCATGAATCGTAAGTTTACCCATGCCCAAATTGGTCTACATAAACCATAAATGAGTTTGGGAGCGAGGGCACTAAAATAACGTTCCCTTTAGGGGGGAATCGCTATACTAGCCCTAGTACGACCTCTACTAGCTCTTCCTTTTTTACAATTCTATCACCAAACAATATATGCAACGCGATACCTAAAACTAAGTTAGTTGATTTTATTTACACACATCAATTCACGTAGGAATTACATTGCAAAGTCGTTATTCTTTATTTAATCAAATTCGTGAATTGGACAAGAAATAAATAATATTCGGCTTGGCTTAAGTGATCAACCAAAAATTAATTATTCAATTCTAATCTTATTTAACGCAAGAAACTATGTGGAATTGATTAATTAAACCTTTTAAATTGATCAAGAAACACTAATTAATTAATTAAAGTTCTTTTAAACAAGAAAATAAAAATGATTTATCTAAGTGCTCGGGATTTTACCACTTCTCTTAGCTAGATCTCCGTTTAGAACACTTATAAATTCCTTCTTGTTCGGGTACCTCCATCGTAGTAACAAAATATCAAAGGGGTGAGTGTTTAGGACAAGAGGGGTTAGGTGGCACAAGTTCATAAGTTTTTCGCCAGAGTTTAGGGTTAATTTTCTGTTCGTTTAAGCCTCGAATTAAGCCTCTATTTATAGGGAATGGGTAGGTTTAGGGTTTTAAACATTTTGCCGCATCAAGTGTCGCGCGCAACTAGATGAGTTGCGCTCGGCCACCCAGCGCAAGTGATTCAGCTACGCTGCTATAGGCAGCGCAACTAATTATCTTACGCGCGGCTTTATGGAAAGATTCGATTTTCTAATTTTTTTTTAAATTTTGAATCTTTCACAAGCACAACTCTAGAAGTTGCGTTGAGTGTCACGCGCAATTGAATTAGTTGCATGCGCCAGCCCAGCGCAACTCCTTGAGATGCGCGCGTCATTTTCTACGGCAACGCTTTTTTTAACCTAGGCGCTCCTAAATCCGTCATTATTGAGTTTTAAGCACGGGATTAAGACTATTTATGATCGGATTTAGTTAATTGGACTTTATTTAGCTTTGTTTCTTGGTTTGGGCTAGTCTTTTGTGTTTTGTGGTTTAACCAGTTATCTATAAGCATTCTTCACTTTGATCCAACAGGAAGCTGGTTTTATTTATCGTCATTGCACTTCCTGTCGGGACAGGAGGCCAAAAGTAAGTATCTACATCACTTACCTATTGCCAAAACATACTGTAGATTTCATCATAGGCATTCCTCTACCGGCATATAGGGGCCTACCCACTCTAGAAATTTTTCAGTGAAGTCGGTAACTTGGATAGCACACAATCTCGAACTTGACATGCCTAAATGTCCCTACCATTGGATATGGAAGCTCAATATTCCTTCTAAACTCCTAATCTTCTTTTGGAAATTGATGCATGGTAGCCTTGGAGTTAGAGATGTCCTTGACAAAAGAAAAATTATTCCTTTTAGCAGTTGTAGCCTTTGTAGGTACTTAAATTCAGAGATAATCGATCACTTGTTTCTCGGTTGCTGAAAAAGCAAAAGAAATTTGGCTTCATCCTTTAACCAAGAGTTGGTTGAGCAATGGGAACTTGCTACCTAACCTAAACAACAGGATGAACAACTCCATTCTTAATAAGTTTATCTTTTTACTATGAAATATATGTGGAAAGAGTGAAATTCTATAATTTTCCGAAATGAAACATTAGATATCACTCGTAATTTCCACGGAGCGCAATTTGTGTACAATTAGTGGCAATGTCGTACTCTCACATATACATTTTTAAGCTCGAGATCACCTATGCAAAGATCATAAACCCATATTTACCACCAACCCACCCATTCCATTCCGCGCCAAGTTGCGTAGGAAAAGCCCCCCCCCCCCACTTAAACTCTTTCAAACTCAATTTCGATGGTTCATTAAAAAAAAAAAGCTCAGTAACATCAGATATCATCATCAGAGACAGCACCGGTTCCCTTATAGCAGCTCGCACCTTCAACCTTAGCAAGACCTCTATTTTCGTTGCAGAAGCTACAACTCTCTAAAAAGGCATCCTTCTCGCTCTTCAGCACGAGATTCAACTGTTGGTCATCAAAGGGAAAATAGAGCAGCAGATTGGATCGCGAATGTAGGTCATCTAATTAGTGATAATATGGTCATTACTCTTTGTACATCCTCATCTTCGTACACTATTATTTCCTCTAATGTGTTAGGAATTCCCCTCGTGAGGAGGGATTCCTAATAGGGGTGAGCAAACCGGGTATCCGGTCAAAATTTTAGGACCCGGACTTGGAATTGGTTGGAACCGGGTCCTAAAATTTAGAAATTGGTATTGGAACCACCAGGTACCGGCTCCAGTTCCGGGTACCCACTTATGTATGTACTCCCTCCGTTTTTAAATACTTGCTACATTTCTCCATGCGCGGAGTTGAAGGAGAAATTGGATAAAGTAATAAAATATGAAGGTAGTGGGGTTGGTGGAAAAATAAAAAATTATAAAAAGTAAAAGTAGTGGAGAAATTAGAGAGAGAAAATGAAATTAATAAAATATGATATTTGTTGGGTCCACTAGGTGAGAGAAATTAATTAAATATTATAAAAGCTTTCCAAATAAGGAATGGAGAAAGTATTTAAAAACGGCCGAAAAAGGAAAGTGGAGCAAGTATTTAAAAACGGAGGGAGTAATTGTTAAAATATAATACAAATTATAATTTTTATTTTAGTTAGATTTATTTTTAGCGTTTAATACTTAGATTTATATATGCATTAAGCTATTTGTATTTATGTTAGGTATTAATAATACTTTTTTAATTTACAAATTAGATACATTCAACATATTTTTATTATTTAAAATTTATTTAGTTTAGCATATATTAGGTAATCGGGTACCCAACCGGTTCCGGTTCCAAAAGGTTGAGAATTGGAATTGGTTATAACCGGGTCCTTAATTTATTACCCGAAATTGGAACCACCGGGTCCAATTCTGGTTCTGGACCCGCCGGTTCCTAACTAGTTCCGATTCCGATTTCGGGTACCCAGAATTTTTGCTCACCCCCAATTCCTAACGTTTTTCTTATTTTTCATACCTTTATAAAAAAAAGTACAATATATTCTTTTATGTACAAATAAAAGGCAATATGTGTTACTAAAGGGGAGTATAAGGGTATGTTCTCTTTAGATTATTTTTATTTCACTTCATTTCTTAATTTCCTTCTCATATAAAATATTCTATTCATTTCATTTCGCCCAATTTAGTCAATCAGAATAGGCTATAAATAAGAGGAGTGAATAATATCAACCGTGCAAGTGTTGCAATAGAGAACAAAATATAATATGACACTTTTTTTTTTTTTTTTTGTATGACATCTTAATCCACTGAATTCTTGATGCTTTAACCAACTAACCATTACCAAACTAAAATACCAGCTAAGCTAGAACATGGTTCACAACACAATGAATTATTACCTTTCAGTATTAAATAAATCAATAGTACAAATCTTGACCCCTTTCTATAAATATGAGCAACAAATTTACTGTAGCTTATGAACAGTACCCACGCTACTATTCCTTATAAACAGGGAATTTCCGGTTGTGCCCTCTAAAAAGTTGGCTGATATAACTTTTGTCTTTACCCCTATTATTCAAGTCACCTTGACTGCATTTGCCTCCCATCCGGCAACTCGTACCCTTTACCGTGCTTTTTTCAGATTTTCTTTCACTCTCCCATGGCTATTATCTACTTCCCTCTTCTCCATTTTCTTCCTTGCTCATATTGTCATCATCTATTTGTCTATTCTCCTTCAATTTGTAGTCCATGAATAACCTGCAAGTTAGGGTTTTGTATCCTAAGATAAATTTGTTATTAGTTTTAAAATAAAATATTGGGAAACAGTCGAAAAAAAGCTTCTAGGTTTTAATTTTTTCTGGGTTTTGTTACAGATTTTGAGTATACAACAAATCTTCAACTAGTAGCAAAAATGAAATCGGAATCGTTGTTGGCGTTGTGGTGGGGTCCAACGAAAGATCCGACGGCGGCGTGGTGGGATAAATAGAGGGTGTGTGAGAAGGAGGTGAAGGAGAGAAGAAATTGTGAGGAAAAAGAGATGGTTTTCCTCTCAATTCGCTTTTGGATTTCCTCTCATACTCTCTCTTTGTCTTCAAATCACCTTCCGTATTTCCCCCTTTTCTCTCTCATCCTCCATTCTTTTCATGCTTAACTTCTCAAATTAATCAATTAATCTTTGAATTATTTTGATTTTTTTATCAAGTACTACAACGGACGATTCGTACCCTTTGTTTGATAGGTATGGCAGCGTTATTGATGTCTTCATCCCTGGTGACCGCAGGTTCGTTAGGGTTTTCTCTTAAATGTCTCCTTTTTTCTCTAGGGTTTATGGGAATTTTTGTTGATTATTGCTTTTTTTATCAATTGATTTGAATTTAGAATTGGTGAATCTCGTGGGTTTGCTTTTGTTCGTTACATGTATCAAGATGAAGCTACCAAAGCTGTTGAAAAGCTAGCTTGATGGTTGGTTTTGATTTTTCCCAATTCATCTTTTTTTTTCCACTTTCAATTGTATATTGAATTGGGTTTCTTTAATTTGGGAAAAGAATTCAACTTGGGTATTCTTTTAATTTATAATTTATTGGGTATTTTTTAGAATTAATTACCCCGATTGGGTTAACTGTACAAAATAGCTACAGTAGCTTATGAATAGTAAATGTTGGTGCTATTACTTATGCGCCCTTGAATTCAATGAATTGCCAATTTTACCCTTTATTGTTTCTGCTTTTTTGGTGGCCTGGATTTGGCAGCTGTCTCACTTAGTTGTCTTCTTTCTCTCTCTTAACTCTTAAGTCTTCTTCTTTCTTCTCCTCTCACTATATTTCTCTCTCTTCCCGTTTCTTCTCTCCCCGCTCTAATTTACTGTAGCTTATGAACAGTACCCACGCTACTATTCCTTATAAACAGGGAATTTCCGGTTGTGCCCTCTAAAAAGTTGGCTGATATACCTTTTGTCTTTACCCCTACTATTCAAGTCACCTTGACTGCATTTGCCTCCCATCCGGCCTTTCGTACCCTTTACCATGCTTTTTTCAGATTTTCTTTCACTCTCCCATGGCTGTTATCTACTTCCCTCTTCTCCATTTTCTTCCTTGCTCATATTGTCATCATCTATTTGTCTATTCTCCTTCAATTTGTAGTCCATGAATAACCTGCAAGTTAGGGTTTTGTATCCTAAGATAAATTTGTTATTAGTTTTAAATTAAAATATTGGGAAACAGTCGAAAAAAAGCTTCTAGGTTTTAATTTTTTCTGGGTTTTGTTACAGATTTTGAGTATACAACAAATCTTCAACTGGTAGCAAAAATGAAATCGGAATCGTTGTTGTCGTTGTGGTGGGGTCCAACGAAAGATCCGACGGCGGCGTGGTGGGATAAATAGAGGGTGTGTGAGAAGGAGGTGAAGGAGAGAAGAGATTGTGAGGAAAAAGAGATGGTTTTCCTCTGAATTCGCTTTTGGATTTCCTCTCATACTCTCTCTTTGTCTTCAAATCAACTTCCGTATTTCCCCCTTTTCTCTCTCATCCTCCATTCTTTTCATGTTTAACTTCTCAAATTAATCGATTAATCTTTGAATTATTTTGATTTTTTTATCAGGTACTACAACGGACGATTCGTACCCTTTGTTCGACAGGTATGGCAGCGTTATTGATGTCTTCATCCCTGGTGACCGCAGGTTTGTTAGGGTTTTCTCTTAAATGTCTCCTTTTTTCTCTAGGGTTTATGGGAATTTTTGTTGATTATTGCTTTTTTTATCAATTGATTTGAATTTAGAATTGGTGAATCTCGTGGGTTTGCTTTTTTTCGTTACATGTATCAAGATGAAGCTACCAAAGCTGTTGAAAAGCTAGCTCGATGGTTGGTTTTGATTTTTCCCAATTCATCTTTTTTTTTTCCACTTTCAATTGTATGTTGAATTGGGTTTTCTTTAATTTGGGAAAAGAATTCAACTTGGGTATTCTTTTAATTGATAATTTATCGGGTATTTTCTAGAATTAATTACCCCGATTGGGTTAACTACACAAAAGTAGATACTGTAGCTTATGAATAGTAATTGTTGGTGCTATTACTTATGCGCCCTTGAATTCAATTAACTGCTAATTTTACCCTTTATTGTTTTTGCTTTTTTGGTGGCCTGGCTTTTGGCAGCTGTCTCAGTCAGTTGTCTTCTTGCTCTCTCTTAACTCTTAATTCTTCTTCCTTCTTCTCCTCTCACTATATTTCTCTCTCTTCCCGTTTCTCCTCTCCCCGCTCTAATTTACTGTAGCTTATGCACAGTGCCCACGCTACAATTCCTTATAAACAGGGAATTTCCGGTTGTGCCCTCTAAAAAGATGGGCTGATATTTCTTTTGTCTTTACCCCTACTATTCAAGTCACCTTGACTGCATTTGCCTCCCATCCGGCCATTCGTACCCTTTACCATGCTTTTTTCAGATTTTCTTTCACTCTCCCATGGCTATTATCTACTTCCCTCTTCTCCATTTTCTTCCTTGCTCATATTGTCATCATCTATTTGTCTATTCTCCTTCAATTTGTAGTCCATGAATAACCTGCAAGTTAGGGTTTTGTATCCTAAGATAAATTTGTTATTAGTTTTAAATTAAAATATTGGGAAACAGTCGAAAAAAAGCTTCTAGGTTTTAATTTTTTCTGGGTTTTTTTACAGATTTTGAGTATACAACAAATCTTCAACTGGTAGCAAAAATGAAATCGGAATCGTTGTTGTTGTTGTGGTGGGGTCCAACGAAAGATCCGACGGCGGCGTGGTGGGATAAATAGAGGGTGTGTGAGAAGGAGGTGAAGGAGAGAAGATATTGTGAGGAAAAAGAGATGGTTTTCCTCTGAATTCGCTTTTGGATTTCCTCTCATACTCTCTCTTTGTCTTCAAATCACCTTCCGTATTTCCCCCTTTTCTCTCTCATCCTCCATTCTTTTCATGTTTAACTTCTCAAATTAATCGATTAATCTTTGAATTATTTTGATTTTTTTATCAGGTACTACAACGGACGATTCGTACCCTTTGTTCGATAGGTATGGCAGCGTTATTGATGTCTTCATCCCTGGTGACCGCAGGTTTGTTAGGGTTTTCTCTTAAATGTCTCCTTTTTTCTCTAGGGTTTATGGGAATTTTTGTTGATTATTGCTTTTTTATCAATTGATTTGAATTTAGAATTGGTGAATCTTGTGGGTTTGCTTTTTTTCGTTACATGTATCAAGATGAAGCTACCAAAGCTGTTGAAAAGCTAGCTTGATGGTTGGTTTTTATTTTTCCCAATTCATCTTTTTTTTCCACTTTCAATTGTATATTGAATTGGGTTTCTTTAATTTGGAAAAGAATTCAACTTGGGTATTCTTTTAATTGATAATTTATCGAGTATTTTTTGGAATTAATTACCCCGATTGGGTTAACAATACAAAAGTAGCTACTGTAGCTTATGAATAGTAATTTTTCTTGCTATTACTTATGCGCCCTTGAATTCAATGAATTGCCAATTTTACCCTTTATTGTTTCTGCTTTTTTGGTGGCCTTGCTTTTGGCAGCTTTCTCAGTCAGTTGCCTTCTTTCTCTCTCTTAACTATTAAGTCTTCTTCCTTCTTCTCCTCTCACTATATTTCTCTCTCATCCCGTTTCTCCTCTCCTCGCTCTAATTTACTGTAGCTTATGAACAGAACCCACGCTACTATTCCTTATAAACAGGGAACTTCCGTTTGTGCCCTCTAAAAAGTTGGCTGATATACCTTTTGTCTTTACCCCTACTATTCAAGTCACCTTGACTGCATTTGCCTCCCATCCGGCCTTTCGTACCCTTTACTATGCTTTTTTCAGATTTTCTTTCACTCTCCCATGGCTATTGTCTACTTCCCTCTTCTCCATTTTCTTCCTTGCTCATATTGTCATCATCTATTTGTCTATTCTACTTCAGTTTGTAGTCCATGAATAACCTGCAAGTTAGGGTTTTGTATCCTAAGATAAATTTGTTATTAGTTTTAAATTAAAATATTGGGAAACATTCGAAAAAAAGCTTCTAGGTTTTAATTTTTTCTAGGTTTTGTTACAGATTTTGAGTATACAACAAATCTTCAACTAGTAGCAAAAATGAAATCGGAATCGTTGTTGTCGTTGTGGTGGGGTCCAATGAAAGATCCGACGGCGGCGATGGTGGGATAAATAGAGGGTGTGTGAGAAGGAGGTGAAGGAGAGAAGAGATTGTGAGGAAAAAGAGATGGTTTTCCTTTGAATTCGCTTTTGGATTTCCTCTCATACTCTCTCTTTGTCTTCAAATCACCTTCCGTATTTCCCCCTTTTTTCTCTCATCCTCCATTCTTTTCATGTTTAACTTCTCAAATTAATCGATTAATCTTTGAATTATTTTGATTTTTTTATCAGGTACTACAACGGACGATTCGTACCCTTTGTTCGATAGGTATGGCAGCGTTATTGATGTCTTCATCCCTAGTGACCGCAGGTTTGTTAGGGTTTTCTCTTAAATGTCTCCTTTTTTTCTCTAGGGTTTATTGGAATTTTTGTTGATTATTGCTTTTTTTATCAATTGATTTGAATTTAGAATTGGTGAATCTCGTGGGTTTGCTTTTTTTCGTTACATGTATCAAGATGAAGCTACCAAAGCTGTTGAAAAGCTAGCTTGATGGTTGGTTTTTATTTTTCCCAATTCATCTTTTTTTTCCACTTTCAATTGTATATTGAATTGGGTTTCTTTAATTTGGAAAAGAATTCAACTTGGGTATTCTTTTAATTGATAATTTATCGGGTATTTTTTAGAATTAATTACCCCGATTGGGTTTACTATACAAAAGTAGCTACTGTAGCTTATGAATAGTAATTGTTGTTGCTATTACTTATGCGCCCTTGAATTCAATGAATTGCCAATTTTATCCTTTATTGTTTCTGCTTTTTTGGTGGCCTGGATTTGGCAGCTGTCTCAGTCAGTTGTCTTCTTTCTCTCTCTTAACTCTTAAGTCTTCTTCTTTCTTCTCCTCTCACTATATTTCTCTCTCTTCCCGTTTCTCCTCTCCCCGCTCTAATTTACTGTAGCTTATGAACAGTACCCACGCTACTATTCCTTATAAACAGGGAATTTCCGGTTGTGCCCTCTAAAAAGTTGGCTGATATACCTTTTGTCTTTACCCCTACTATTCAAGTCACCTTGACTGCATTTGCCTCCCATCCGGCCTTTCGTACCCTTTACCATGCTTTTTTTCAGATTTTCTTTCACTCTCCCATGGCTGTTATCTACTTCCCTCTTCTCCATTTTCTTCCTTGCTCATATTGTCATCATCTATTTGTCTATTCTCCTTCAATTTGTAGTCCATGAATAACCTGCAAGTTAGGGTTTTGTATCCTAAGATAAATTTGTTATTAGTTTTAAATTAAAATATTGGGAAACAGTCGAAAAAAAGCTTCTAGGTTTTAATTTTTTATGGGTTTTGTTACAGATTTTGAGTATACAACAAATCTTCAACTGGTAGCAAAAATGAAATCGGAATCGTTGTTGTCGTTGTGGTGGGGTCCAACGAAAGATCCGACGGCGGCGATGGTGGGATAAATAGAGGGTGTGTGAGAAGGAGGTGAAGGAGAGAAGAGATTGTGAGGAAAAAGAGATGGTTTTCCTCTGAATTCGCTTTTGGATTTCCTCTCATACTCTCTCTTTGTCTTCAAATCACCTTCCGTATTTCCCCCTTTTCTCTCTCATCCTCCATTCTTTTCATGTTTAACTTCTCAAATTAATCGATTAATCTTTGAATTATTTTGATTTTTTTATCAGGTACTACAACGGACGATTCGTACCCTTTGTTCGATAGGTATGGCAGCGTTATTGATGTCTTCATCCCTGGTGACCGCAGGTTTGTTAGGGTTTTCTCTTAAATGTCTCCTTTTTTCTCTAGGGTTTATGGGAATTTTTGTTGATTATTGCTTTTTTTATCAATTGATTTGAATTTAGAATTGGTGAATCTCGTGGGTTTGCTTTTTTTCGTTACATGTATCAAGATGAAGCTACCAAAGCTGTTGAAAAGCTAGCTTGATGGTTGGTTTTTATTTTTCCCAATTCATCTTTTTTTTCCACTTGCAATTGTATATTGAATTGGGTTTCTTTAATTTGGAAAAGAATTCAACTTGGGTATTCTTTTAATTGATAATTTATCGGGTATTTTTTAGAATTAACTACCCCGATTGGGTTTACTGTACAGGCAAGGTCGTTGATGGCAGAGAGATAATGGTTAAATTTGCAAAATGTGGTCCTAATTGCTGGGAAAATGTGAGTAATAACAAAAATAGTTTGCTTTTTATTGGTTTTTGGGTGTTTTGATGCTATATGTTACTCTGCTTGTGATATCTTAACCAGAATGTGTCGAAGTGACAAAGTTTAATTCTATTGAGAAGGTGTTTTTATTTTATATTTGGCTGCATTCTCTGTGGTGTTGGGATGGTGATGAGGTTGTTTGAATTATAATTTGGGTTATGCTGTGGCATTTGCTGGTATGAATCATGGCATGTTAGTTACAACGTTTAGCCCTTTTTATAATTGTAAGGAAATTTAATTAGTTGATTATATTTTTATATACTATATACTAAATCATGTTTGTGTTTTCAAAAAAAAAAAAAAAAAACTATATCATGCTTTAATGCTGCATATGAACATATGAAAATGTTGAACCATTCATGAGAAGAAAAAAAATGATAATCAGAAAGGACAATTGTGAGGGATAGAATGATGATGATGCCTATTTAATGTTTATTATGTTATAATAATATACTATACTAAGTAATTCTCGTAGCCCACATTTGACTCTTCCACAAATGTGTCACTTTTCTTGTACCATAGATAATAATGAAAAGAAGAAAGAGTTGATTTTCAAATTTTGTATGTCATATTTTTGTTATCAATAATTTTAAAAGTTGTATATATTCTAGGGTACATTTAAAGTTTAATTGAGAATTTATAAAACATTAATAACAAACAGTGGTCCTTAAAAAATGGGTCAAGTTGGAGTAAATACAGGAGTAATAATACTTCACCGGCAAAAAGCAGGAAGAATTTCATATATATCTAACAACAATGCCAAGGCCTATCAAAGATACATGGATTTGTACCAGCTATATATTATTGAGGTGGTCACAGAAAAGATAATTAATGTATTTTCCATGCTAGCAGCTGCACAATTTTTCTTCAATTTAGGGTGTTTTAAATTGCAGGCCTTACTTTGAGCAATTGTTTATTAAGGGGCAGGCAAAATGATTTGTGTGTTTCTAGGCCTGAGCTATAGTTTGACCAGGGTTCACTCGGTCCAGAAACACTTGAAATAACTTGAAAAGATATATTAGAGAGAGAATGATCATCAACTATAGAATCATCTATAATAAGAATAGAAATGAAGTAAAACTCAAATCCCTTCAAAACTTATAAGTTTTAACTAGATTTTATTACTTCTTAATAGTTCAAATGACATATAAACTCTTAATAGTCTTAACATTATATGATCAAATTTCAATGCCTCTTCTCGATTCTTGCTTATATGTACTGTTGACCAAGTTGTTGCAAGGGATGTCTTCTGTATAGGTAAAAGTTCTAAAATCATCTAATAAGAAGCTTCAATAATATCGTTCAAAGTGTTAGTTATGCCCTGTTATTGCTACAGAGTTACTGGAAGATCCATAAAAGATTATTATGTTTTCTTAGCTCTCTTAAATGGATTGTAAAATGTAGCATAAATAACTATTTCAAATTATGATTGCCTTTTTTTTTTTTTTTTTAAATGCATGTATATGTTATATTCCACTTTCTTAGGAGAAACCCCGTCTTTTTTGAAAGTCTTAAAAAAAAATCATTTTTGATATTTTGAAAATGCCTAGATATCTCAATTGTTTGCTCTCTGATACCTCCAACTCCCGTATCGATATTTATAAGAAATATAACCAGGGCATGCTTTGTGGGTTGAGGGGGGAGGGAGATTAAATAATTAGTGAATTGGAGTAGTAAAATAAATTCCCCAATCTTCTTCTAATCATGACAGTAAGAAACAACATTACGAAGGGAGAAAATGAAGATATATCTCAGATTTTGGGATAACAAAAGGGTCTTTTCTTTTATAGTAGCCTCTGTTGGTCTGTTGGTTTTTATTCCAAGCCAACATCACAATAAGGTGCTAATTATTAATGTTAATGCTCGTAATTTGCTTACTAATTACTCCGTCCACCAAAAGGTAGAAATTGGACATGAGAGGCTCTTGCTTAAATAAATTGTCGTTCATTCTTCATCATAGTATACAGAATGTTAATTTGGCTTTTCCTTTGCTATGTTAACAGACACATGTATTGTTAAGGCTCTCATATTTAATTGCCTTTTATTTTTTTACAACTTTGGGTAGAAGGAATGCTTGTTGGCTTGAAGAAGTAGGCGTCTTTTTTCACCAAGATAAGATTAGATTTTCTTGTAAAAGATTTTACTTTTGTTCATTGCATTACACTGTTTATGTCTAACTATTATATTATATATGTAATGCTTGTTCAACATTCATTCTATATAAGCAAAAGGCCATGTCTTTTGTAACTAACCCTCTTATACATGTGGTTTGTTACTAGCTTAGATTGAATTTGTAAGAAGCCTTCCATATCTTGTTGTCCAGTAGCATATTGAAGCATTATTCTACAGTTCTGTTGAGCCTACACCCAATTAAGTTGAAACTCTCAAAACACATGCCCAAGGTGTGTAATTTAGAATCAACTAATAATGGAATACTACTATATTGACTAATGGAATACATTGGCAAATTAACAATCCAATAATTCTCTAAATTATAATAAGCATCATATGCAGAAACCATGAGTAAAGGCCATTGCATATTATGTGATTATTTCTTGTTGTCTTGTACAATTGCAATATTAACTGTTAAATAAAAGGACCACTTGTCTGCCTTTATTTTGGATGTGTGAAAAAGTTCGACTTCCGTAAGTTCTATTTGTGGTGTTTTATAATTATGGGGTTTCTGTCCTTTTTGCAAGTGATTGTTTCTGAGTGGCTGTAGTAGCCTATATTATTCTAAACAGGTTTTAAGTTCTGATTATTTTGATGGGTTATATTCATAATCAGGGATTGTAATGGATTTTGTTGATAAAATTGTGATTTTTGTGAATTTTTTTGCGGTCTAAATTTTGTTACTGTAGTAATTTAAAGCATTTAGAGCAGCAAATACAGCTGTCTATACCTATGGTTTACGTTGTACCTTAAATCATATACATCTCACTGGAAGTTTTCCAATATAAAGAATCAAGCTCCCTCCTTTCACTCTTTTCTCTTCCTATTACATTAACTCTGACAGATACAACATACTTGATAGTTCCTCTGTTCTTCAATCTCAACTCTCGAGTATTCAACATCAACTGACCATGGAAATCTTATATCGAGTTTCCACCCTTGGTTACAACATCAACAGACCTTGGTTACACGATTACATAATAACTTGTTCAAGTATGCCCGTATATTTGTTGAGAAAAATCACTTGTATTTTATTTACTGTTATTGTCATCAATTGAATTACCATGATTGATACGATCAAGGAATCTGAACTTGAATGATTTTAAAAAAGGAAGTTCTCCCAGTGTTTCATCCTTGCTTAATTTTTTTGTTTTTTTCAAATACAAAATCAAAGTCACTACTTTTTGCACAATGCATTACTCAAATCATCCAGCGACATACCTATAAGAATAAAGATCTTTGAAAATTTATAAAAAGTTAGCAATTGACAAAAATAAAATAAAACTCCAAATTGATTCTATTATATCTAGGGTTAAACAGAAATTCCAGAATATGAAAATATGGAATGTGTTGCATTCACATCAAATTAGCAATATCATGAGCTTATTGTAACCCCTCTAATCCTATGTGTTCTTTTTATGTGAAGTTATTTTTACTGAAATAAGGTCTTGTTCACTTCACCTTATTTTTGCTGAACTAAAATTATATTTAATAAACTTTGATTAACTTACTAAACTGAAATTATTTTTGCTGAACTGAAATTATTTTTACTAATTTTTCATTATAATTCTTCTTTAAGATAACTGAATTTTACTCATCTGTACTTATTTTTACTGAACTAAAATTATTTTTACTGAAGTGAAAGTAATTTTACTGAATTGAACTTATTTTTACTAAACTAAAATTATTTTTATTTAATATTAATCATTTTTTTAAGGTGAAGTGAACAGGGTCCAAGTCAAAGAAGAGCAAAAGGATTGGAATATAAAACTACTTTTATCCTAGAAATAGGCATGTGCTTGAAATGTTGGTTCCCAAAAAGCTAAAGATTAAGGGTCTGCTCACTTCAGCTTAATTTCAGTTTAGTTTTACTTTAGTTCATTTCCTAATTTCCTTCTTTAATAAAATATTCATTTTAGCTCCAATTCAGTTCAGTTCAATTTAATTCAGTTTAGCTCCAATCAATTCGATTCAGTTCAGCTCCAATCAGTTCAATTCAATTTAGTTAAGCTCAATTCTATAAATGTGAACAGGCCTTAAAGGTACTCTTCCTTTTTAGGGGAAAGTTAACTTACATTGGTTAATCTACATGATCATAATCTTTGTCTACATGGTGAGTTGGTGAGCCCCAAGTGATCCGAACCCAAATCTGGATGGATGGTAAATATGACAAAAATAACTTAAGAAACAACACCGATAATAAAATCATTTGAAAAAAATACATTGATAACTTGGGGAACCGCACCGCAATGCGCGCGGGTCCACAATTAGTTATATTATACATATATAATGGATACACTAGCCTTTCCATACATGTGTTACAATACTCCTTTTGAGTAACAGCTAATATAAAAAAAAAAAAAAAAAAAAGTTCTCACAGATCCAAAAAAATAAATAAAGATGTGCATTTTCCACTGCCCACCGACACTAACTCTTGCCAGTAATTTCCCACTACTTTGCCACCGACCTTAGTTTCATCCCTTTGTAAACCAACTTAACCCATATAGGTAAAACCTAGACGCACCCCAGAGTAATTTCTGCTCATTTACCCCGTTTTTATAAATGGATCATTCCAAATGAGCGAAAACCGAGTGCACCTTGCAAGATACGAGAACCACAGTAGTAAGCAATGTTACAAATAAAAGTGAACGGAAAAAGAATAAAATTTTAACCGGATGCTTATTGATAGGTGCAAGCTTTCTTGAGGGAAATAGCAGAATTGGGTTTCTTAGGATTATATGCAACTACACAATCAATGGTTTTGTAGAATTTGGGTTTCACCAATCTTCCCAACACATAAGCTCTAGATCGAACAGTGAAGCTTAGCGTCATGTTCACTGTCGCCGTCGGCACGCCTGTCGATGTACCAATCAAGCTTTGCCCGCTTCCATAAAGCGGAATTTTATCCCCTAATATTTGCACATTCACTGTTTTCTGACTCTTTCTTGACTGATAGAATTTCTTGAGCTGCATCAAATAAAATTCAAATTATTCCTTGAATGAATTGTCATTAACTTATTGATAATTCTAAATCGAAATTGAAATTAATTGATTATATAATTCGTATGGATCTAGTTAGATTCTTACGTTTCCTGTACCAACGGTGATCTGTGAGAATGATAGATCTAGTGGAGTAGATGTTACATGAACCCCGAAGAATGTTGCAGTGTTTCGATAAAGAAATTTGAGGGTTGAGTTCACTGATGCCATTTCGGTTGCTACTCCGGTTGCATCTGATCCAGCCGATACTAGAAATCGATCAAACTTTATACTCTGTTGAATCCAACAACAAACAAATTAGTAACCGGGTTCATTTATTTACACTCTGATTCATTACAATTTCCGCTTTTTAAAAACAATTACCTTGACAGTGATCTTGGGTTTCTGAGGGCGAGCAGCGCCCCAAAGAATGAGGGAGAAAAAAGAGAAGAGAACGAAGAACCCTAAAATAAAAGCGAGAACATAGCAGCGGCGAGGTAGTGGTTTCTGATTCTCTTCATCTTCAATAAGATTTTCTTCTTCAATAACATCACACTCTTTCCAAGGAGCTTGATTCTTCTTATGCCCACCTTTTCTACCACCACCAGATCCACCGTCATTAGGGGATATCTTGCGAGACCCACTTCCGGGTTTAAGCGAGCCGGAGAATCGAGTCGATGATGATTCACGAGAGTGGCGGCCAACAGAGGAATGAGAGTGCGGGGGAGAGCCAGCAGGGCTCAGCACTGGTGTTGATTGGAATGATGTTGTTGTTTTTTCGCCATCGTGCGAGTCTCGGGATGGACTCTGCACGTAATACACCGGCCGCCGAGGCGGCGATCGGTTTGGGGATGAGGCGGATAGACTAGTGACCTCGGAATCCGTCTTTGCGTGCATCTTGTGGAAAAATGATACAATTGAATACAAGTGAGCTATTTAGTGGTGAAATTGGGAATTTGGGGAAATTGGTTTTGAGGGTGTTGTACTGTACTAGTGAGATTGTGAGAATGTGAGTTGGGTGTCTTTTTATTTAAGTGGGTTCGCTTGTTGTAGATGGGGTGTTTGATTGTTTTGGTGTTTTTTTTTAAGTTTTTTTTTTTTTTGATCAAAATGTTTTTTTTTTTTAAATATTTACGCTTGAGGAGGTTTCGGTGGAGTTTGATTTATTATTTAGCTGTATAATTGAAAATACTTTGTGTAATAATTGTGATTTTAGTTTTTAAATGTAATAAAGAACGACAAAATTAAACTTGGAAATGTGGTAAAAATGAAGGACTTGAAGTATATTGCTTGGAAGGATCTGAGTACTGACATGTGACAGCTTCGTAAGAGTTGGCAGCTTAGCATGATCTTTTTTGTGTTATGTTATCTAACATTTTTTACTGTAAAGAGTATTTTTTTTGTGTTACAGTTCTCATATTCGGTCGAGTTTTTTTAAGTGTTACACTTCTTTTTTGGCAAAAAGCTATATTAAAATATTATGGCCTTATTTGGCAAATGGTTGTTGGCTGGTTTACTTGACTTGTTTGACTAGATGAAATGTTTGCCTGTTTATAATGGATTTTGAAATTGGTTGTTTAAGCTGGTTGTTTATAAAAGTGTTTGGTAAATTAATTGTTGGTTGTTGGCTGTTTATTAAATAATTTATGGGCCAACAAGCCAAAAGTCATAAAAAAAACTACTCAAAGCAGCTTTTTCATTTTGGCTTAAAAGCCAGCTTTTTCGCTGACTAAAAAGCCAATTACCAAAGACATTTTTTTTGTTGTTTGACCACTTAAAAAAAACCAAAAGCTAACCAAAAAGTCATTAAAAAGCCAATTACCAAACTTGACATATATCTCTCTTTTCTCATGGTCTCCACTCAAACCCACTACTATTATTTTATTATATCTTCTCTCTTCTCTCATGAAAGAGGGTGGGTTTACTTTTCAATAAACCGTTAACTCCACTATCATTCTTTTACAATTTTTTTTATATTCCAACTACCCCACTTACCTCTTAAGGGTCGTTTGGTTGGGGTTAATAATTAAAGGGAAAGAGAATGAGCAGGCCTCATTCCCTTTGTTGTTGTTTGTTTGTCACATTCAATCATTCTCTTTATCCATTTATTTTTGAGTTCACTCAAAATCCCTCTATATAGATTCCCCACCCCTCTAGACTTTTCCATTTCCATTCCCATTCCCTAGCCAACATCAGCCACCACCATGCCAACATCAGCCACCACGGGAATCACCCTTCTACCCTACCCCCACCGCACAACCACCACCTAGCCACTTTTTCGCCCCTCCCCCGCCACTCTCCGACTGCCGATAAGCACCACCATCAACCGACCCAACTTCACTGGCATAACCAGCCTTTCAAATCGCCTTATACCCACCGGAAAAACCCCACCCTCCTTGAAAACCACCCCACCGAAACCACCCTAAATCCATCTGTGTGAACCACCTCACCCAAATCGACACAACCACCACCCATTGAAACACCCACCAAAGCAGATCTAAACACAATCAATCTGGGCTACGAACAACAGCAACAACAGCCCAGAATTGCAAAGTGAATCACCGACGAAAATGCAGAGACAAAGATAGTGATGATGGCAGACTTCTCTTTCTTCTTCTTTACTGGGTCTTTCTTTGATTGTTATTTATTTGTATAGTAAGGAATTTTATCGAAATAAAACTTTATTTTTATAAATTTTATTTTTAAATATTTGTAAATTTCACTTTGGGTTGAAGGAAAATGGGAAGAAGATTTGGATTTTATTATACGGAGGTTAATGTTACTCCATCCTAAATGTGTTGAGAGGGGTGGAGGGGTGCGACGGGCTCCGGGGAATTCCGACAAGGTGGTGGCTGGCAGTAGGGTAGTTGGAGAAGTGGGAAAGTGAAGGAAAAGGGGGGTTTTGTGGTGGTGTTGGTGCCCTTGGTGGTGGTGCTATGGTGGACCATTGGTGGTGGTGATTCCCTTTGTTTTTGGTAAAACAAAAAACGTGCTATATGGAATGATTTTCCATTCCATTCTCTTTGAATCCCTTTGTTCATTCCATTCTCTTTGAATCCCTTTGTTCATTCCATTCCGTTTACCCCGTGTGAACCAAACGACCCTTTATTTTATTTAAGTCAATTAAATTGTCGAAAGATATGTGCCGGTCAGACTGTACCAGTTAAAAAATTACGGAGGGAGTATTTCCTTTGTTCAAATTAAGGCTTTGTTTGTTTGCGCCAATTTTATGTAAGCATTCAAAATTTCTAGAAAATACATTATTGGTGTGTTGTTTCATTAATCAAAAAAGTGCAAAATAGAGGAAATAAAAAATTCCTAAGAATTTCAATTTCCCACATAATGTGGGAATTTACTTACCCACCTCCCTCAAGGTCATTCAAATTTCCTAGGAATTGTAATTTCTCTAATGCTAACCAAACAAACTAAGCAACTTCCAAGGAATTTGAGGAAGGAAATAATTTCCCATGAATACCATGGGAAGTTAATTCCCATTGTAACCAAATGAGTCCTAATATTCCCTCATGTATGTAAATGTAATTCATTCCCATTTTTTTTTTAGTGGCTCTAAATTGTAAGGGCCTATTGTGATTAATTGAAATGAAATAAATTGATTAATTTAACTGAATTATTTATGAAAGAAGAAAATTAGAAACTGAACTGAATAGAACTGAAATTAAGTTGAACTGAACAAGCCCTAAATATAGTTTCTATTTTCTTTTTTTTATTATTTAATGTGTGTAGGGTAGTGCCAGTATCAGTGTCAATATGATAACGACAGATCCATGTCGAGTTACGTCCCAAGGAGTGCTTCCTATAACGAAACCTAAGCCATATCGGCATATTACGCATGCACAGAAGCCCACATGGTCGGCTAATTTCCAACACATGGACACTCGCTATTTACTTGACATGGTAGCCACGTGGTATGATTATCTTTCTATAATATAAATACCTATAATCTACTCATTTACAAAGTAGAATCTCTCTCTATCTCTATCTCTATCTCTCTCTCTCTCTCCCTCTCTCTCTCTCTCTCTCACATAAACATAAAACTGACTTTATCATCGAAGCGGTTATTCCTCTCTCTCTCTCTCTCTCTCTCCCCCCCCCCTCCCTCCCCCTTAAATTCTCTTATCTCCTTTCTTACTCTCATAAATATGAAACTGACTTTATCATCGAAGTGGTTATTTCTGGACAAATCCCATAGTTAGCTGACCCATATTGATTGTGTAGGTCTCTAGCTGGACGATAGGTCTTTACCGGTCCTGGAAACAAAATATCGGAGTTTATCCATGACATAATATCCCTTGGAAATCACCCATTTACCCACATTTTTTTTTGTCTTTATTAGAAGAAGTGTCAAAAGTACCCTCTAATTTTTCTTATTCTTTGTGCATCATTGCTCCGCTTGTTTAATTTAATATTTTTTTCTCATTGAAAAAAGTTAAAAAAAAAAACAAAAAAAAACACCATGTTATCTTTCTTCTTTTTTTTGTAAAGATTTCCATAGATATGTTAGAAGAAATAGAATTCCATAAGTACGGTACATTTTAATAAAATTCTCGGTGTATTATCCACGTCATCTTTTGTAAAGCTGGTTTTTTTTCTAAAAAGAAAAAAAATACAAGGCTTGAAACCGCTAATTGCATAGAAACTTCCATGAATTCTCAATGCCAATGAAATTATTATTTCTAGAAATTTTCAAAAATTGTTTGGTTGGATGTAGGAATTTCTACTTAATTCCTATAGATAGCTCCACTTACTTTAGGGGGGATTTGGTAAGTTAATTCCTCTATTTTGTGGGAAGTTAACACTAGTAGAAAAACACATTTTGGCACCGAGTTATTGGCACCGGTTCTTAAAAACCATTGGGAAAAAATTAAGTGGGATTTAGTATAACAGAATTGACAACAGTTCAAACTAAACCGGTGCCAAATTAGTAAAATGCCACCGGTTTGAACTGGTGGGAATTCTAAAAAAAACCGTTTAATTTATCATTTCATATATAAACCAAACCCTAGCATCTTCATGTTCTTTCTCCTCTATCCCCTCTCCTCTCGTTCTCCTTCTCTATCCTAATCTCTTGTTATCCTTCTCTCTCCTCATCTCTCGTTCTCTGCTCTCTCTCGTTCCTTTTCTCTCTCGCTCTTCTTCTCTTTCGTTCTTCTTCTCTTTCATCTTCTCATTCTCTCCTCTTCTTTCACCTCTTTCGACCACTAACCATCACCAGCGCCACAACAACCATCGACGCAATAACCACCATCGTCGCAACCAACATCAACATCAATTTCCGCATTTTTTCGCACTTTCTCTTTCCTTGTGATGAAACTAAAGGTTTTCAGGTCAAATTCAATTATGGAAATGTTAGCTTTGATGAGTCCAACTCATCGCGGAATAAAACTCGAGCCAAGATTACACTCATAATTAAAATATAATCAAAAGACATAATCAACATAATTAACAAGAATTAAGGAAAGACTTAATTACCTTTGACGCGCGCTTCGCTCGTACCCCGAGCTCTTACTTGAGAAAGCTTAAGTCTCACATCGGGCGAAAACCTCCTACGGTATCCACCCGCAACCCAACCTCGACTAGGTCTATTGCTTAGAGGTTAGTTAAGCCCGACCAAACTACTCAATTAATTATGTGTTTAAAGGTTTTCTCAATGGAAATGCCTTTTCTAACACCTTACTCAAGTGAGTTTTCCCATACCCCAACTTGGGTATTTATAAGGTAACTCATGAGTGAAATTCTCTCTCCCATCAATGTGGGAGAGTTGGTAAATTCAACTTTCTTTTTTTCTTTAAATTAAAAATAAAATTAAATATCCTACAACTAATTAATCAACAAGTGGCACATTTAGGGGAAGGGTTAGGTAAGGACCACAAGAAAAGGAGAGGAAGTATTTTGCTTTAAGTTTTTCTGCGGCCGAATGGCCAAGTATTTTGCTTTTCTGGCCTGTGTGCCAGGTAATCATGTATTTTACCGACCGAGGGGTCGGGTGATTTGATAATTTCTGGCTTTGCCAACTTACATTCATAGTCGTCTATTTTGACGGCTATTTTATTTATCAACACTACTACATTTTTTTTATCAAATGCGACGGCTGAAGTAGAGCTAATGCAACGGTCAGATGGAATACCGTGGCAATAGTCAAATCTAATGCAACGGATACATAATAGCCGTGGAAATAGCATCCTCTATTACAACGGATACAGCGTAATGTAATTGGGCGTCGCATTAGGGTTCAAAGTCGTTGGGATAGGATGGTCTAATGCAACGGCCAGTCAAATATATGAAAATTTTATATAGGCGCGTCAATTTCCCTCTTATATTTTTCCC